TTAATATGTAAAAACTATTTATGTATAGTTTTTTTATTACTAAATAAAAATATTAATTAAAAAACTTTCATTATAGTAACTTTACACAAATTTTATAATATGTTCACTATAAAGAGATCTCTCAGTACAGTGAACATTTGTTACAGTGAACAAAATCTCAGGAACCAAGGGTTCACTGTAATGAGCTTTGACTGTAGTCATAAAGTATCTCCCTATCTCTCTACATAACTCTGTAAAATAAAAGACTTTTGTCTGATCATAATTTTCTAATATTAATAACATTTGTGGATAAAAGATACTTATAATGAGAGATCACCTCTCAATTGTCACTCTTCCACCCATTTCAGTGGTACTTTATGATCTTTACCAGTGTGTTCTATTGTAGCAAATTGACAATCATTGGATATTAGAACACGAAAGTAATGCCTGTCATCTGTGATTGCAATTTTTGATGACATTGGATTACTAATACATAAGTCAATTGTTGCCCAATCATTCATAACAATTTTACCATTTGGTTTAAAATGCTCAGAATGTTCTTTTATTCTTATTCCATCATGGAGAAACTCAAAAGCCCATTTGAATTGTCCATTTAAATAAAAATTAACAGCACCTAAAAAAGATTGAAAAAGATTGAAGTATGATGATAAATAATACAATAAAGAAACAACTCACCTCTGACACCAAAATATGTACCCACATCAGGACTCAATCTTCCGGGAATTATTGCCCAAACAGCATGGTAAAATTCATTTTGATACACACGCTCAATAAGGGTGTAACAGTTCTTTTTCGTTAATTGCGAATATGTAATGTGGCACAGTAATACGAAATTTATTTCGCGTAACGCGTTAAATTAAAACGAAACGTTACAACTTTATTTATATATATTATCGTCATATTACTTATTATTTATATTATTTATTATTTATATTACTTATATTATTATTATTTATATTATTTTCTTATGTATATGAGTTACAAATTAAGTGCTGCGGCTTTCCGGGAAGTTCTAAGATATTATTTTTATTTATTTAATTGTAATATTATATTATGCATTTTTGTATAAAAAGATAAGCTTTCCGTAATTAATAAAGAATAACTTGTATAACTTGTACTTTTTTTAATAATTAGAACCATTATATAGTATTTTGACGTAAGGAAAAAGGGTTTCCTTACATAACCTCAAATACTTTAAAAGAGCAACAAATACTTTTATTGAAAGAAAAAAATAGATATTATGGATATAGTTTTAGTTTCACCAAAAGGTTTTCTTTTTTTCTTTGTAATAATTGTAATTCAAACCTTCCTTCATAGATCAAAATATAAAATACATACAACTCTACCAACTCAAGAATTCATTACTGCTGCTACTATTACTCAACTAAACCAAGAATTCATTGCTGCTGCTATCACTACTCAATTAAATCAAGAATCTACTACCACTACTACTACTCAACCAACTCAAGAATTCATATTTCATTAAAAAAATGTTATCATTAGTCTTTTCTTACTATGTTTTATATTTAACCACACTTGAAATTTTGATATAATATGTTATAGATGCTAATTAAAGAGAGTTCACAAAAAAATGAGAAATAGTGTTGCTAATTTTGGGAAATTTCAAAAAGTTCAATTGAAAAGAAACAATAAATACATGGTTTTCCTCACTTTTCACTAAATATTTTACATTTAACCACACTTGAAATTTTGATATATTATATTATAAAGTTTAATTAGGAAAAGTTCATTAAAAAACTGAATTAAAAAATATTAAAATTAATAGTTTTATAATATTTATCTTTCACGACAAGAGAATTTTGTAAAAAAAAATTATGGGTAACACGGATCTGCAAAAATCAACTATTTTGCAAACCACAATAATTAAAATTATGGATAATTCAAGTTGGTTAGAATATGTTAGTGATCATCCGGTTTTTTATTCCGACAGTGTAAAATTATCAGGAGATAGTAAGTACAATCAATAAATAAGCTTGTCTCTAAACAAATATAGCTACTTATAAAATTTTTTAAAAAAAAATCATCTCTCTAATCAAACATAAAAAGCAATAGGATTGGAGAATTATGGAAAACCAAAAAGAAAACAAACATGTATAGCTATTGAGGGAAATAATCTTATATTAGCTGTAGGATCCGAAATAAGAATATTAAATTTATTGGAGTTTAAAGATGCTTGGCAATATGCAAATGAAAATGATGAACTGCATGAAATGTCTGAAAGTGATGACAGTAATCATGACAATGATGACGATAATGATAGTCATCATCATGTACCAAAATGGATGTTGAATGTTAAATATATAGTACTTAATACACCAAAAATTAAATTTAAAATTAGATCTTTAATAGTAAATTTTAAAGAAAAAGGGAATGTGATTTCGGTTGCTGGTGATTACGAATTGGCAGTAGTTCGCTTACCATTAGTTAAATTTAATTTATCAGCATCAGAAAAAAAAGTTGATTGTGTGTAAGAATTTTTACATATTATTTATTGATATAAATGAAAAGATTAATTTAATATTTATAAAATAATTATCAAAATAAATAGAACATATCCAATTGGATCTTTTCATCATATGGAAGGATCAAGTCCTATTTCAAAGATATTATGGCATCCACTAACTAGAATACCTCATTTATTGGTTTTGACTGAAGATGCAATATTAAGGCAATATATTAGATTTATTTATATAATTCTTATTATAAACAAAACAAAATTTTTACTTATACTTATTTATCTGTGAAATGATAGGATGTACAATATATCTAATGATTGTAATGAGCCAGAACAGAAATTTTGTTTCAGTGAAAATCCAGAAAAAACTTTTTCTTTTGGTGCTGAAATACCAAAAGCAGTTTCTTTTTGTTTTGGTCAAGGTAATAAAGGCTGGTCTAATTTTACTGTATATGTTTTATTTGATAACGGAGATGTTTATGCAATGTGTCCAATAGTACCAAAAAATTGGTAAAAAAATTTATTTTTCTTTTACAAAATATTATTACATTAAATCTAATTATTAACTTTTAATAATTTAATGAATTAAAGCTTTAATAGTAGAATATTTATCGAGCAACTAAGTTGCATAATTTTTAAAAAATATCAAGAGGCTGAAAAACATTTACCATCTAATTCAAATCTTCATATGTATGATTATTTGTATAATCAATATCATTTGCAATACAGATGGATTTGTGATGTGTCTCAACAAATTAGTAAACTTCCATCACCATCACCACCATCATCATTCAAGGTAGAATTTTCTTCTCCTGCAAATATTCAAAATGATTTATTGTTGCAAGGACCATTTTCAATGAGACCAAATCCTTTGGAATTATCACATCATCCTTTTGATGCTAGTGACATAATCTATTTGAATACTCAACCCACTAGTGTAATTGTTATAGCTTCTAGTAATGGTAGATTAGATATCTTTCTTGAAGTTGATAAAATTGAAGCATTTTGGAAAATTCAGGTACATTGTTATTTTATCGTTTGTTGGAAATAAATATATATATAATCAATAATTTTTATAATATTAATAATTTTATTATTATAATTATTATATACAAATATAAATGATTTATTTATTTATTTTATTAGGGATTAAACGAATTCATTGACTCTCCTGTTCTTTTATTATATGAAAGCATTGATTTAGGATTTATTAAAAGTTTTGTTACACCAACTTCAAATAGTCCCTTCTCAAGTAAAATTACAACTTCATTAAATCATCCAGTTCTATTAGAAGACCCTCAATACAAAGACATGTTTTATGTGTGTAATTTTGCAGGTGTTCATGCAATTCGACTTGGTAATTGGTTAAAGGATTTGGAAGAAATTATCACAGATACTATTAATGATGATAATAAAAATAATAATAATGGTGATAGTAGTAGTAGTAGTAAGGATGATGATAATAGTAATAGTAATAGTTCAGCGATGGGACAATTTTTTAAAAATCAAAAAAAATCAGAAGTTAGTTGGATTGCTTGTGTGATTCCTAGGTAACTTTATATATATTTATTTATATATATATAAAAATATTATTTAATTATTTTTAACTTATAAATTATGTTTAATAGTAATCCAGATCCTTTAATAGGTTTAGTGATAGTTGATAATGCTCATCTAGGATATTTGGTTCTGATATTAACTTCCACACTGCAACTAAAAGGATTTCCTTTAGAGAGTAGAACTACACCAATTAAATTGTCAATTGATGATGTTACTCGTTTGAAAAGTATGGGATTTCCCGAAACAGATAAACTAGAGTTTCCAATCAAACTACAAGAAGTTCTAACTTCTCAAGGATTAACTTGTCAACCAATTCTTTTGTCACAAATTGGCAATAAACAATCATCCAAAGAATTTGATAGGGTTAATAGTGAATTGATAAGAGGAATTTCGTTAACAATTGTTAATGAAATAATACCAATTAAATCTTCTGCTCACATATTAATTAATAGGTATTTATATTGATTTATATATTCCCTTATACACATGTAATATAATTAACTGGCTTGAGTTATTTTTATTTTAAGAATAAAATTACAATTTCAAATGATAAAACATCAAGCAGATCTTTTACAGGATCTTAAAAATACCATGGAAGAGAATAAACATCTTAATTCAGAATTGGATGATCGTGTAAATAAAATCAAACAAAAACATTCTTTTTTAGAAAGTAAAGCCAATCAAATTCTTCAAAAAAGAATAATTCAATCAAATCCAATTCTCGGAGAATTTGAAAATGAGTATTTTGATATGTTAAATCGAGTTCAAGAAGATTTAAATGATGAAAATGGTTTAAAAGCTAAAGTAAAACAGGTAAATTTGTTTTATATAATATATATATATATATAATATAATATATTTAATCATAATTGTTTTTTAAAAAAAAAAAACTTTTATATATTTAAAGATACAATTACGGCACTCAAAACTGTCTAAATACAATCAGCCAAAGTCAAAATCAAATCATTCTAATTCTAATCAAATTCATTTACTTACCGGAAGTCAATTACACAAAGTTGAGACTGCTTTAGACAAAGAGTAAGAATAAATCTTGATATTTTTTTTTTGTGGTAATCAATATCAATCAATCAATTAATCATGTACTTTATTAGGATGGAACTTATTGAAGAAGCAACAAGTAAAATCCAGGTAGCACAAGAAAAACTAAAAAATTTGAATTTGGATAATATTTCCATAAAAGAGTAATTAAAGACTTTAAAAAATAAAGGAAGAGCTCTATACTTTTTGAGAAAAAAAAATTAAAAAAAGTTTTGACAAATTAATTAAAATTTGAGTCACTATTTTGCCAAAGTAATTGATTGTATGTAAAATGTTGCGACCATAGTTGTTAAGTTTCTGTTCCAGTGAGCACCGGAACACTTATTCATGAAACACTCTATTATTTTTAAATCGCGTGAATAAATTATTAGCCAATTAGAAGTTATTTATCTTTACTATTTAGGAAATATACCATCACTATTTGTAAAGTTAATAAATTAACTAATAACTTTTTTTTTTACATAAAAAGCCAATTATATAAAGTGAATTTGACTTAAAAGTTCGGACTTTCAAATTAAGCATCTATTTATAGTACGACTGTATATTTTAGTGTCAATTTATGGAAAGACTTAATGGATTAAAAATACCAGTGGTGTAAAAAACTCATTCGAAATACAGAAAATTTCTTTCTTTATTGTAATACTTATATCTAATGTTTTGGGGAGCTGCAAAGAAAAATTGTGATTATAAGTGGTCAAGTTTACAAATAGTTGTACCAGAAGCATTAAATTCAGTATCCTTAACAACAATTCATCGTTATGCACAAAAAAGCTGGAGATATATGGATGTTTATAGAAAGGGAATTTCAGGAAGATTAGCTGAGTTTGCAGCGAAAAAGTATAGATCATCACAGGAGAGTTCCTGATTCTGTGTATGATGAAATTAAAATTTAACTATTCTTTTATTTAAATCTAATTTCTTGTTTGTTTTTTATCTTAAATAAATCTTTGAAACTTTTAAATTTATTATTTTCCAAATTAAGAAAGATCTTTGACTAAAAATGAGACTAAATTTTTTTTATGTTATAAATCAATTCCTTTTTAAAGCTGAGTTGAATGTAGGGATGGGAATGGTTTGGTTTGGTTTATAAACTGCCAGTTTGGCTAGTGAATTGCACTGACTGGCAGTTTACCACCACAGTTTGAACTGCAGTTCAAACCCAAACTTAACTGCAGTTTTATAATTTTATTGGTGATCTATTTTTATAAAAATGAAAAATTTGTTCCAACAATTAAGGCTATTTTAAACACCACTACTATCTATTCTCTTCATATTTGCTTGTACTTTAAATTGTTTGCATCAAATAGCTGGAGTTCCACCTGATCTCTATATCAAGTTGTAGCACAATAATTCAATTAATTGTGATTGAAATATCTGTTAAAATCCCCCATAAGATTATAGAATTACGACCTCCTTCATAAATTATGCACTTTAGTGACTGTCTCATCATGAACTTGCAATCCATACCATACAGCAATATTGAATATGTGGGAACCACAATGGTATAACCATTATTTGTAAAAACACTCATTTTTTATTTCCCCTCCAAATTATTTGAAAGTCACACTCAAATTAGCCAATTGGAATATTGTAACCCACCCCAAAATTTAATTAATTTTCATGCACAACATTACCAATTGCTGCTGCACTGTCAGTTATTATGCTCAATATTTTTGATGATAAATCTAATTCTTCTAAAAGACTTTTTATTGCATGTACTATATTTACAGCATTACAAGTGAGATTCATGGAATATTAAAAATTCATAATTTTCTTTTATGAACAATAAAAAAATAAACATAGTTAAATTTTATTGTCAGATCCAATTCAAAATTTAGGACCACAGGATCGGTGTATAAATTCAATGCCCACAATGCCCAGGTGTAACGTCATACATCAGGAAAATGGGTACAAATATTATGTGTATATAATACACAATTGCAGGGATTAAGCATATAATATACATACAAATCGTGTATTTTTTATGTATGCAAATTGTACATATACAGTCCACACTGTCTATAATGGATCATTGGGCCCAGAAAATTTATCCGTTATAGACAATTGTACTACATTAAGTCATGCGGAATAAAAAATTTTATTTATTTATTATTACTATTATATAAAAATTATTATTCAAAAAAACAGTCTAATTTAGATTGTTTTGTTGAATTGAATTCTATTTTTTTAAGTTTCTTTTTGACATTTTTTAACAGTTTCAATTCCTCATTTGTAAATTCCTTAAACTGTTGTTCAACAAACAAGTTTACTTTTTCAATAACCAATAAAGCATCTTGACTTGAAATAGGTGTCTCTTTGATGTCTTCTTCAACCTGATTTTCTTCATTAAAATTCAATGTAGAAATTATTACTTCTTCATTCAGCAAATCATCATCATCATCATTTTTTTCTGTTTCATCAATGGAAAGATATTCTAATCCAGATAAAGGATTTGTAAGATTAAGTTCATTAATTAAATTTTGCAATTCATTTTCATTGTCATTTCTTGAAGAATCTAGGAAAGATGTAACTTCAGTAGAGTTTTCATCTACACTGGGTAAAATTGCTGTTTTTTTCCAGCAATTAATTATTGTTTGATTGGTGACATTCTCCCAAGCTTTTGCAGTATACTTAATTGCATGTTTTATTGTAATTGGAACAATTTCTTCACCTTCATTTTGTAATTCATAATTTTTCAATTTCTTTTTCAAAAAAAGTTTCTTGTAATTTGCCTATAATAGAAAATTATATTTAAAAATTTTTTTTAAAAAAAATTGAATTTATAATTGTTTTACCTTGAAGCTATTGATTATACCCGCATCACATGGTTGTAAAAATGCTGTAGTGTTTGGAGCAGTGTTGAAAATTCGGTGCAGGAATGCAGGGGTGTAACATTACACACCAATCAAGTTTTTAATTTTTGGATATAGTTTCTAAATTTGTACTGGTTACACAACGAAATTTCAACACTGGTTTGGAGGAAGAAATGAATTTTAATATTTGTTAGATTTGTTGGTTCATTAACAGTATGTGTAGGAGCATTGTCTAGTAATAACAAAATATTTCTATTTTGACTTTGCATAGATCTATTTAAATTTATTAAATAATCGTTAAAAATAGATGTTTGCATCCATGCTTTGAGATTCCAGTAATAGTCTACTGGTAGAGTTTCTTTGTAAATATGTTTTAAAGCTCTAGGCGTTTTGTACTTGTGTATAAATAATGGTTTTAATTTTTCTGTTCCACTGGCGTTACATGTTAGTAGTACTGTGACTCTTTCTTTTGACTTCTTCCTTCCAGACACAGGTCCTGTTGACAATACTTTGGATGGTTCTAGTTGCCAAAATAAACCAGTCTCATCTGCATTAAAAATATCACATAATTGATATTGATTTGTAATAGAATTCCTTAATTCTTCTCTGTAAGCAGGTAATTGTGAAATGGGAGCACTAGCAGCTTCACCTTGTTTTGTATATTGTTTGATATTGTGTCTTTGCTTGAATCCTATTAACCATCCTTCTGATGCTTTAAAATTATCAATTTTAAGAAGTGAAGCAAATTTTATTGCCTTTTCTTTCAAAATATCACCAGTAATGTCTAAACCTGCATTAATGGCTTGCTCTATCCAAATAGCTAATGCCTGATCAACTCCTTCATATACCAAACTTCTTCTTTTTTTCTTGTTTGCATCAGAAGATTCTGGATCAATAGCAAGCCACCTATCCTTTTCTCCTAAAATATCGCTAACTGTACTTGTAATTATATCAAAAGTTGTTGCTAATTCTTTGTTTGTTGGAATTGGAGTTGTCTGTTTTGCTAAACAAATTTCTCTTTTTACCAGAGCAGTTAAAGATTTTCTTTTATTTAATGACATTTTAAAAAATAATGGAAATTTTGAATTGTGGATGTGAAAACTGAGAGAAATCAAAATCAATTTATAGTTGATTTTGAAAAAGAATTTAGAATTCAAGAATCATGTAATTATGACAAAACACCTCATTATTAACACTAACATTTTATTTGTTTTCTATATATACTTTAGTAGATTACATCACATCCACTTTATTTTTGTTCGATAGGTCTTTATTACAGCTGAAACTATGTTGGAAGAATTGGGTATTATGGCAGAAGTTCAAGTTGATAAAAACTTGGTTCTCAAACTTTAAACTATTTGTGGGTGGATTAATCACTTATGTTGTATTAGTATATTTAGAGCAATGCCAGAAGTTTTGAGTATGTGACCCAATATCATCTGTCCTTATATTATTATGACCTAATTATGACATTACAATATGATTATGACATTATGACATGATTATGATATTACACCATGATTATGACATTACAATTTGAAAATGGATGCCTAAATATGTTTATGACATTACAACATTACAGCATGCTGAAAGTCATAATTAGTTTGGACTGCATGTATAGTCAGGGTATCATGAGATTGTGCCTGAGTTAACAATGATAATTTCTGATAATATGTATAACCTATCCTTCACTAATTTTTACTATAATATACAGCAATAACAGAACAGAACACATGATCTTGCAATTTTATTGGATAAATATCACTTTTTTTTGCTGGTGATTCTGGGGTAGTTCTCTATAACAGACTAATACCATCCCAATTTATATACCAACAGACATTTTTTGTAATAGTAGGTCAAATGGTCTGTTATAGAGAAAGTGAACTCTACTTACACTATAAGTGATTCCATGCATAGCTCAAAACCAAGCTACACAAGAAGGAAATAATGATTCAATATATTTGAAAAAAAAAAACAGAAATAAAACAAAAGCTCTTTTTGAAGACTGTAATTATTAATGACAATAAAATTTATTGTGTAAAGCAATTAAATGAATATTTATCACCAATTAGTTGATTTGGATGATGATGTTGGTTCATGCTCATGCTCATATTCAACTTCAACATAAGCAGCACCTAAAACAATTAATTGAAAAAATCAGAAAAAATATCACAAAATATTAAATATTTTTTGCTGATTTTACAAAACTTACGAGATTTTTTATTCTGTTTGAATGTTGTTATCTTATTTTTTCGTTTATTCTATCAAAAAAAAATATAATATATATTATTATTATTATTACAAGTTACTTTATGTTCAACCATCAATGAGATAGATACCTTTAAATTATTTTCTTCAACTATTTCTTCTTCATACTCTTCTAGTTCTTGTGAATCTTCTGAATCATCACCATTGTCAAATTCATCCTCATCCTCTTCTTGAAGAAGATCTTCCAAATCCTCCAACTCTGATTCACTATCACCTTCAACAAATTCATTTTCCTCCTAAAAAAATTTTATGATTACAAATAAGTATATGATGTCAAGCTAATAAATAAATAAAAAATCCATATTATATCACACCATCAATAATAATAGACATTTACCTCACTATTTAAATCTTCTACTTCACTCTCACTTGTAAGATCATCTTCAACTTCAACTTTATCACCTTCCAAAACTGATCTCCAAACCTTTTCATTAACATTAAGTGGTGTATCACCATAAGCTTTATTTTTCAACCGACCAATCAACTCCTTTTCTATTGCATGATCTAAATGTGCAGCTGCTTCAGCCTTTCGTTCTCTAGTTGATTCTCTCCTCTCAATTTTCTTTTTGATTCCAACAAGCTTTGGTCTAATGAATTTGTGTTTATTTTTGTGAAAAATATTTTTTAAGAAAAGAATATAATATTAATAAAATACTACATCCACTAACCGATCTTTTAATTTTAACTTCCTCATCCGTATTAAATATTGAGTGATTTTTGTTAACCGTTGTTTGCATTTATGAATCAAAAAATTTGGCCAGAACAGTAACTCTTTATCAATCTTTTTTTTTATAAATAAAATATTATAATCTGTTAAAATATAAATAAATAATTATTGATATAAAAAATTCTCAATATACCTGTTCTAAAGCTTTTTTATAATTTTTTAAAAGTTTTGTTTTTTGCCATATTTTTGCAGGAGTATGAGCTCTTTCAGCGATTTTCGTATATAAATAAATTGTACCTATCAAATAAGAAAAATCAATAATTAATTTTTAATTTTAATCAGAATATATATATATGGATATCAATGATTCCTAGAAACTAACCATTTATTTCACGAACAGTTGCATATTGACTATTTGCCAATGGACAAGATTGTCTACTACAAAATCCAGTGACATTATATTCATTTCGACAAAAATTCTGAGTTTTTGTTCTAAAGGGCAAAACAAAGGCTTCTTAATACATTATAATGAAGTAAAAAATAAACATATAATATACATATTTATTATACCAACTTGACTTTATAAGAACAAAAATTTTGGTTTATAACTTGCCAAATCACTTCATCTGACATTTATATACATATATATAATTTTTTTTGGAAATGAAAAATTTTTTATCAGATGAATCAAATATTTGTACTACCAGATTTCAGGGCTAATGTGATGTTAGGACACCCCAGTATAACATTCACGTTTGTAAAAAATGAATTATTTTAAAAAAAGAATAAGAAAAGTAAGCACTCATATGTCAAATTAACTTATAATAATTTCTATAAATTTTTTGGATTCTAGATGGGGTCATATTGATTTTCCAGATTATAACAAAAGAAAAGAATTATGAATATTAACAATGAAAATAGAGATAGAATTATTGGCCGAAAAATCAACGTCACGTCTTCAAATTGTCTAAGAGCAAAATGAACTTATTTGACAATTATGATGACATTGACAATGTCGATAATGAAGATCAATGAAGCTTTTTTAATACCGATGATATTGAAGGTGATAATAATTTATGTGATGACAGCGTTATTGGAAACAACATATCCGAGTCTGGTGGTGACAATTCTGTTGAGTGTTGTGTCTGAATTTGGTGACAATGCCATTGGTAATAATTATAACAATTATAATGATCATAATCATCTAGATAATAGTGGTAGCATTATAGTGGTAATAATGATGACAAAAATATAGGTCATTGATTTGATCATTTAATCATTAATAATAAAAATTATCAAATTTTTTTTTATTCTTAGAGTGAAGTTCCTTTCACAACAATCAATAATGTGTATTGTTGTACTATTCCATTTCTCATTAACATCCCCAACAGATTTCATTTAATATTCATTATTTATTTATTTATTTATTTATTTATTTTACAAAGTGACTTCATTTTCATCATCCTATATCATCAAATGATAATAGAAGCAACTAAGGATCAACTGAAAATTTATGTTGAAGATGACGACATCACTGTTACTGTTAATGAAGATTTTTTCAAAGTTGTTCTGGCATTTCTTTTGAGAAGAATAAAAATAGATGAAAGCGTTAAAGTCCAAATCAACAAAGAAATAATGACATTACCTTTTAAGAAGAAGGTTAGAGGGAAGAAACGAATGGAAATTGAATGAATTTTTTCATCTTCGTTATTCATTTTAATTTGGATAAATCTTTGATTGGTAATAATAATATTAATAAAAAAATGAATTAGTTTACATAAATGAATAATCCACCAACCCTAAAAAACATTATATTACACTGGCAGAAAAATGAAAATTCAGTAATTTATTCTGCTATTTGAATTTTTGTTAAGTCTGGCCTGAATTATTTCTTAAATTTGCAAAATTGTTTTTCCCTATTAATTAAACTTATAAAGGCTTCTTTTTTGCAGTTTGACCATAATATCCTAAGTATATTGAATTGTTCCAGAGTTTATTTTGACAGATCTTGATGTGTCGAAGGTTTTGGTTGTTTCTTTAATTGCGACCTTATGATTTTTCTTAAGATCTCTACTCTAGCAAGTTACCTTTCGTCATGACTTAGAGAATAAAGCGAATGATTCGAATAATTTGAGTGAAACAAAAACGTACCATTTCAGTATGCCATGGGTTCCACGCCTATTCCATATGTTTTATACACAAAAAAAGGACCTTTCATTATTATTATGTCACACATTCCTTGCCTATTCCGTACCTCAAAAATTTTAAAAATCCGTTATGACAAAAATTTAATTATAGTTCATTGTGGCAAAGTTTAACCGTATTAATATATTAATAATGGATTTTGGAAAAAAAATTTTTTCTAATTACCCAAACTAACTGCTAAACCAAGATTATGTATTTTTTAGTTAACAAAATATATTATTTAGTGATGGTGGCCAAAGCTATTTTTGAAAAAAGGTAGTTTCGCCCAATACATACAGTATAACGAGTATACCTAATACTAAATCAATTTACTTTAAAATAATTTCGCCCAATTTCAGCCATTAAAATTTGTTTTGTCAAAGTTTAGGCCAATTAATTTCGTCCCACTGAGTAAAGGTAGTTTCGACCACCATCACTAATAATATTATTAAACATTTTGTAACAAGTGTAAAGTTTTATTATTGTTAATATTAAATATACAATAGATATGATGATTTTATGATAGCTACTTCTACTACCCAAGAACCTTGTCGCAGCAGTCCTCACCACAGTATACTATGATCAAATTCTTGTTATAATGGATTTTTAAAATTTTTGCTTCACATATAAAAATCCATTGTGGCAATAAATAAAATCTCCTTATGTATCCATTCATCCACTATGATAAAGTTTGACTGTATATTAAGGTTGCTTGCCGAAACCTCTTAGTGACTGTCAAAACTCTGTCAAAACTCTAATAACAATTAGTATATACCTCGTCAAAACTTTGATGATTGACAAAACCCCCCAAATGCGAAACTCTGCCAAAACTCTAATTAACAATTAATGTGTAACCTGTCAAAACTCTGTCAATTGATTTCTGGAGGAGTTTTGCCCACAACCTTACTGTATATATACACTTGAATCAACTTTAAATTCATTTGATTCCATTTGAAGCTAAATTTCTCTTACTCTAATTAAATTATTTTGTCTTCAATTGCGTAATGATCTTCAAGCCAATAACAGTCGCAGGACATTGCAGATCTACAGGGGGTCAAGTGTCACTCACTATATATAATCATGCCTATCCATCATCCCTTTAACTCAGCATAATGGACACTGTAAAACAAGCCATTTTATTGGCCAAATTTTGTCGATCTTATTTCAAATCATCACACAAAA